TTTTTCTCAATAAATTTTTGTGAGCTGTTACTATGCACGTGCCATACTTTACCATAACACAAAGGGCCCCACAATCCACAATTTCAAATCTCTCAAACCCAAACTTTGCTCTTTTTATTCAAATTTGAAATTTGTTTTTAAGATAAAGTAAACTCAAAAAGTTCCCATTTTCAAAAAAACTCTACTCTTTCAGCTAAAATGGAGAGAGCAACACCTGTACGGAAGCCTAACACCTCTGCCGCCGATCTGCTCACCTGGTCGGAAGCTCCGCCGGCGAACAACTCAGCTGCTGCCTCCGGCAATGCATCTCGCTCCGGCGCTCGTTCTCATCAGGTGAACTATATTGTGAGTTGTGTTTAGTACTTTTATGATTTGTTTAGTGTTTAATTTATTTGTTTTGTGTATTGTTGTAGCCTTCTGATGGAATTAGTAAGGTGTTGTTTGGAGGTCAAATTACTGAAGAGGAAGCTGAGAGCTTGAACAAACGGTATGTATGTGATCTGAAAAGATAAATGATTTTTTCAATTTGTTTAATTTATCTTACATTTTGCTTGGAATTTAATGATTTTTTCTTGTAAAAATGTATGTAGTGTGTTTTTCTAAGATGTGATTTGTTGTGATGCTTGATGTTTAGATTACAAATTTCAGATCTTCACCTGAATTGTCCAAAATTTTCTATTTTGTTTTTGAAGCTTCTATAATTTCTTAGGTCTGGTAATGCAATTTGTTTTTTTTTTCCTTTTTGCTATTTTGGTGTGTTTGGTAGGAAGGAAAATGTTTTCACTCGTTTGCCGGAGTTTGGTAAATATTGTCTCAAAGAGCATTTATGTATAAAAGGAGGAAAGAAAATATCTGAGCATATATACTATCACACTGGACCCCTGTCCCAACATAGACACGATCTAAACCCTGACTCTGAACCCGACAACCAATCCCAGTCATGACCTGGGACCCGTTGTTGACTCGATAACTAACCCCGACCCTGATTCAAATTGAGATTGGAGACAGGACCTTGAGGCCTGACTCCATCTGGGTCAAGGTTGCTCTTGACTTGGGATTCCAGGTTGGGGTGGGGTCTCGGGTATGGATTCTGAGTCGGGCAAGTGTTTGGTCTTAGGTTGAGGTCCTAAGTCTTTTTCGGGATTGGAATCAAGTCTTGGGTTGAGGTCTTGAGTATAGGGAGTTGTGTCCTTGGTTGGGAGTCAGGTCTCGGGTCTAGGTTGGAGAGAGAGTTCTGAAAAATATTTTTCTTACTTTGTATAAAAAGTCATTTTCATTAAATTGAAGGAAAGTAAATTCGTTTGGAAAACATTTAAGCAAATTAAACATAAAATTAAATTTTATATAAATTGAAAAATGTTTTCCTTCGTACTAAACACGCCCTTAACGTTCTTGTTATAGTCTGTTGTGTTTCCTTGTTGAGCTACTCTGGGATTTGGTTTACACGTATGATAACGTGGAGAAATAAGCTTGTTACGTGTATTATATTTTTTGGTTCTAGCTAGTGTTTGTTGAAAAGGTCTCTAGTTATTTCTTGTGAGAATTTGAAGTTAGATATGCTGCTGTTGATGTCATACGGGTTGTAGTGTTTACCCTCATTTTTAGTTTTTCATTTCATACTTAATACAGATTTTGCATTATAATTGTCTCTCAAATATATACTGGTTTTTTTTACATTATCAGTAGTAATGTAAAAATTATTTAATCCCCTTATTTAGTAGTAGTTCACTTATGCAGAAACATCATTTGATACTGTTGCTCTAATAGCATGTTTTCTGTTGACAACGGCTCCGTAAGACTTGAGCTACAGTACTATTTGTTCATTTCAATCTACTGCTCTAGATGTTTATCAAATGAATAGCACATGTGAAATCTATTGATGAGTATATCAACTAAAATGGTTTCACTATTAAGTGATGAAAGTAACATTCTTTTCTATAGATCAATTTCGTTTGATTCTGTTTAAGGTTTATAAAGAAACTGTGATTGACGTCATTAAAGTGTTAAAATGGAAACATTTCTTGGTGAAAAGTGCATCTTAGACTTCTTTTTGTTAAAATCATATTGATTCTCCTCTTTTTTTTTTCTTTATTGAGTTTCTTGAAGCCGGACTGTCATATTTATTATCACTCCCTTCCACATTCCAATTCCAAAGACTATAAATCAGACTTTTTTTTGTGATATGTAAGAGTTACATGGCTGCTACTAATATTTTTGGTAAACTGGTAAAAATATGCACCTACTCTGCATTCTGCATGTTAGGTATCCTGATCTCCATGTCCTTTCTTTCAATTCTTTGCTTATCATGATTTAGTATTCAGAGACCTGTGGTGAGGTACTGTCGCGGAGTTTCGACCAATGGAAGTAATCCCATTAATTTAAGAAACTGAAGACATGCTATTTTCTTATATGGTCACCCGAAACATTGCAGCCATTGTAGAAAATTAGCTCTATGCTATATACGTTCTTGCTTTTAGACAGGGGCGCAAGTTTAGCTGATGTGAAATGTAAAGCATGCAAGTTAAGTGAAGCTTCTCTATCAAAAGACTCAGAAAGTTGAGAGGTTCCAATGTTTGGACATGTGGAATACATATTTTGGGTTTAACTGGTACTTTTCATTGAAATCGAGAGGTTCCAATGTTTGGAAAAGAAAAGAAATAGTCCAGTGACCTTAATGGTTTTGAAGTAAATGTTCTCTGGTCCTAATGCTGCTTGAAACATGCTGTCTCCAGGAAACCATGTTCAGGGTACAAACTGAAGGAGATGAATGGCAGCAAAATCTTTTCTGCTGATGGTGAAGATGATGCATCTGAATCAGGAGCTGTTAATGGTAACTTCAACAACAGGACATCTGTCCGCATCGTTCAGGTACTATTTATTTCATTATACAGTAAAATTATGTTTTACAGGACTTGCTGTGTGAGCAAGCTACATAATCAGGAAACTAGTAAAATGGCAACTTCGTCGTCTAAAGTTTTGTAATTCTTGTAGCAAGCTGCAAATGGGATAAGCCAGATATCATTCAGTACTGAAGAAAGGATCTCTCCAAAGAAACCTATCACACTTACAGAAGTGGCAAAACAGAGAGAGTTGAGTGGAACATTAGAAAGTGATTCAGATAGCAACATGAAGAAGCAGCTGTCAGATGCAAAGAGCAAGGAACTAAGTGGAAATGACATATTTGGCCCTCCTGCCGAAAATCCTCCTAGATCTTTGGCTGCTGCCCGATCCATAGAGTCAAAAGAAAGCAAAGACATGGGCGAACCTGCCCCACGAGTTGTACGTACGTCTGTCAAGGTTTCTAATGTGAGTTGAGTACTAGACTTGTTTTCTTATTCTTATTTCTATCTACAGACTTGTTATGTGTTCTCATGTGGCTGTGCTAATTTGTAGCCTGCTGGTGGTCAAAGCAATATTTTGTTTGGTGATGAACCTGTTGTCAACACAGTAAAGAAAATACATAACCAGAAGTTTGCAGAGTTGACCGGAAATGACATTTTCAAGGGAGATATTCCTCCTGGATCTGCAGAAAAGCCACTGAGCAGGGCCAAGCTGAGAGAAATGAGTGGAAATGATATTTTTTCTGATGGAAAAGTTGAATCCAGAGATTATTTTGGTGGCGTTCGTAAACCACCAGGTGGAGAAAGCAGCATCGCGCTGGTTTAGATAAATGCCATCAAACTGCTGTTATGTTTGACCTGTAGTGTTCCTGCAACATTTCACTTCTAATGTTTCATGGGATTTAGAACTGAGGGTTGTAGATCATGTGTTTAACCATGTTGTCCGGACAACTTCTAAACTACATTTTACATCAACTTTGGAGGATTTGCCTAACATAGTATTTTTAAGACATTGATCTTTATGTTTGTATTAATGTGGTATAGCACATCACACATAAAACTGGTCTCTATGGGTGTATGGGCAAAAAATGGTCCTGTTTAGGTGGATAAATGATACGGCAACGCGTCACAATCCAATTAGGAGGTACTAAATGCGCATCCCAAGAAACGTACTTCAGCCTAGAAGGCCTTCGGAATCAAGTCATCTTGATTTACTTTCCACATCCATGTTATTCTAAAGTTATTTGAAATTTTGATGATTTAACAAACTATGGTATTTAATACAGACCTGATCCATGAGAACACTGAGTGTTAAGTTACGTGAAAAGGACAACAGTAAAAACTGCCACTATTGCAGTGGTTAGTGCGCGTCTATAGAGGACAATACTCTCAACCAATGACATTGCTCTAAGGTATTCGTCCATCCTATAATAGTCTCTTCACAAATGACATAACCTCAGTTTTTGCATTGAAAGGATTACTCAGCATAACTCATTCTCTTAAGAAATATTTCTCACACAACAACAAGGACTAGATAGAGTTATCTTTCGTTCTTAGTTGTTATTTGAGATTATATTTCTATGCTTATTCACTATAAGATCTATTTCTGAGTTGTAAAGAAACTAGATCAGTCCAAGTTTTTCTTCATTCATTCTGAGTTGTAGCTAGAGTTAGCTATGTCGGGGTCTTGAAGTAGTTGGTGTAGTCAATAGAGGTATTGTTTTGTCTTTAGTAACAGAGTTGTAGAAGGGATTAAGATTTTAATTTCTAGGTTACAAGAGTTTGTAATTTGAATCTTAGCTCTTTGAAGTTAATGAAGTCGTGTTAAAATCCTGTGAAACAGGTCGTGGATTTTTCCTCCCTTGAACAAGGGTTTCCAGGTAAACTCTTGTGTTACTTATTTTAAGCTTTTACTTTACGCATAGTTCTTGCTGAGTCAAGGAATTGCAGTGGATGCATATATTTCATTACATGTAGCATATTGTATAATGATGCCGCACATTACACTTGACTACAAAAGCTGCTACTTAGCTAGGAATCTCCTTCTCATCAATTATGTTCCCATTTGCAGTTAGTTGACTGAATTTGGCTAGAGCAAGAATAAAAGAGCAGAATTTTATGATTGAAAAGTAATTGTAAGCGAGAGAGGGAGAGGAATCGTATAATAAAAGCTTATGCGATTGTGCTCGCTCCGAAGTTGGAGCTATGCTTATTTAGCAGGCAAAACCAGTAGAAGTCCGAAAGGAGAAAACAAAACACAACACCTTAATGTTTTAGTTCATATAATGCAAAAACCAAACCCGGAGAGTACACACCACACATCATAAAAGCAAATTCAAACTTCAGAAAACAAGTAAAGAGTTTTTATTATCTCAAGGTTTCAGCACATGTAATTCAAGCATCTCCGTGCCCAATCAAAGCCAGAAGCATTTTTTCATAGTCTCCTGAAGTGTCTGCAGCAATTGCACGGTCCAATGTAACACTGTTCCTCCTATGGTACTCTTCTTTGATACGCTCCATGTCAACTTCAGCCCGAGTGGCGACAACTCTAGTAAGATCCCATTCGTCTGTGCCCAGCTTCTTGATAGCCAATCGAAGAACTTTCTCAAAGTATTTCTCTGGGGTTTTCAAGCATTCTATTGCTGCTCTGAGTAATTTCAGGTACTCATCATCATCATCATCAGCTTCCAGATCCTGCATCGTTCACATAGTACAATGAACAGTTATATTTGGGATGAGGTGCAAAGAAAGAATCAACACAGAGATATTGAAGCAATGATTCAAAATAGCAGTACTAGTTAAGAGCTTCTTTCTCTAGAATAATATGAAATCTTGTATAGAATTTCAAAGACGGAATAGCAAATACATCCCTTTTAAACAATGGCAAGTAAGTTTTTCTAATGTTTGAGTCTGACCTTGATGATTTCATGGCCATGGTGATCATTGTAGTGGTTGAACGTTGCACTCAGCTGTGCTTTACTCCTAGTAGAAATAATTCGGATGATCTCCTCGTCATTGTAAGCCTTGTCAGAGATCTTCTCATGCAGTATATTTGCTTCCTTTCTTGCCAATGTCATGTTCACCTCATCTCCTTCATATCTGAATGCAGTTATAAGAGGAATCAAAAGCTGTTCGGGAATTAGTTTACTACAATATGACCAGCTTAACGATGGTGATTGCAAAAATTATTTGTTGCATGTATTCTCAGTATTCACTGGAGACAAAGACAGACAACACGAAAATCTAACTTTAAGGTGAGTATCTAACTATTTACACTGTTATCTCAGAGACTATCATCCTTAAACCTTTTCTTTTATTTTTTGGACACAGTAAACCGTAACCTCAGTTTCCCCTGGCTCAAGAGCCCAACAACAGTGATCCTTTTCCACTTCGCTCCCTTGGTGAGGTTAACCCCCAACGTTATGGCTGGAGGTGGATGGTCGTAACCGAGACTATCCATCCCTTGTCACCCTTTATCATTCATCTTAAACACCCCAAAGATGGCAAATAGGTGCAAGTGCAACAGCTTACATGGTAGAAAGAATCATCCTTAAGAAATCACAGTAAGCAAAAAGAAGAGTTAATGAGCTTTACTATGCAAAATGATCTACTGGTCCTAGAATAACTAAATAGTCAAACTAATCGCTTCAATGAAAATAAAGAAGCCCCAAAAATTGCCGATACCTAGACTCATGGTGGAGCTTCATTTCATCCAAATTCTTGGCTAGTCATTTCAGAATTGTCTATACATTTATAGAAAACAACAAAGTGGCAGACTCTTTAGCAAACTTCGGCTGACTATAAATTTTTCTCTACAGCTGATCTAATGACAAAGTTGACTAGCACTAGAATAACAATGAATTAAATGTGGCACTGTAAATCTTATATGCGAAGTACCTTACGGAAATCCCCACTTGTGTGATAAGCAACATCTTCTTCAAGTGATTTCTTGTATCGAGCATGGTAGGCCTGCCTTGCCTTAAAAAGATCATCAGAAGACCTGGTACAAGCAGTTTCCATGATAACCCAATTGCTAGCAGTCAGACGTTTGGTAGCTTCATTAACCAAGTAGGCGTCACGCTCAGCAGGACTCAAAGTCCAGAGAAGCACTACACGCTGCAATGTCATGTGAATCAAATTATATATTAGTGAAAGCAATCTTTGGCTTATGTTACTTGTGGTTAACCATGTAGATATGCTCCAGACAAATTGAAGAAAGTATAAATTAACAAAAGAAAAGCATTCTATACAGCGCAACGATTGATAAAATGGGGTGTCCAACACAATTTGGAACAAGAATGGAAAATTGAGAATAAATTAACCTGAAAATCACTTGACAGTTCAGAATCCAAGTCCTTGAGAAGATCCTCTCCATAAGCAGCAGCATAAGAATCTCGGATTAACTTGCGCTGTGCTGCATTCCTATGTGCCAGAATCTGAATAATAAGATCCTCATTTGTTCCCCATCCTGCAAATGATTAACCATGAGTCTTCTGTGGAAAACAAAATTTATCTTCCCCTTTTCAAGCCCAAACAACAACAACAAACACGGTGTAGTCCCATAATTGGGGTCTGGGGAGGCAAGGGTGTACGCAGACCTCACCCTACCTCATGGAGGTAGAGAGATTGCTTCCTCACTGGACCTCTGTCCCCCTCCTCTTCCCATGTCATAACCATCTTTCTCATGTCACTCGTCTTGTCCACCACGAAGGTCACTCTCACCTTGTGATGGATATCTCCATTCTTATCTCTCTTACACATCGACCTCAACACCCTCATTTTCTCCACTCTTATTTCTAGAACATGAGAATTCTTAACTAACCAACTCTCCGCCCCATACATCATAATCAGCCTAACCACACCTTGAAATCAAAATAAGCAGTGTCTAATGACCTCTTCCACACAAAAAAAAAAAACTCACCTCTTTTAACCAACCAAATAAGTAGATTAAATCCTTTTTATCAACAAATTATTAATCTAGACCAACCATGTGTTTGGGCAATGCCTACACAGAATCATAAAGAAATGTCTTCTACATATGCCTACAGTCAAAGATCAATAATTTCCTCCAACTATGAATCAAATAGAAAATCACACAGCATTTTGCCTAACCGAGGCGGATTCAATATTTAGAGTCAATTATCTATGAACATTTTGAAACAATTTTGGAATAGACATACAACTACATTACTATGATTAAGGACTAGATCCTTCATATCACAAAAACCCCCATCAAGAACAAAAATTAAACAAGGAAAAACAGTAAGGAAAAGTAAAAATCAACTGATCATTCAAGAAAATAGCAAATACAAATATAAAAAATAAATCTTGCATTAAAATCAGTCAAAAATCAGTCATACAAAATCCTTCCAAAGGGGATCTGAAAATCCATCCAAACAATTCAAGAAAAAAAAGGGGAAACCTTTAAAAGCTTTTTTCAGTTGCTCAGCATCTTCATAAGGATCTGGAACTGATGCTGGAACTTTAAGACTAGACATTTTTTTCTTTCTTTCTTGAGAATGTGTTGTGTGTTGAATTATTTATGAGTCAAAACTATAGTGTGTGTACAATTTCAAGAATATACGTGGGGACATAAAATGTGGATTCAGACATTTTTTGCGATCGCAAAAGTCATTGGGATACACGTTTTTTATTATTTTTGTAACTGAACATGACTTTTATGACTACACTATTGTAACGCCACGTACCCAAATTTTGGCTTGTAATGGCGGAGAGTATTAGGACTTAGGAGGATTAGGTAACTTGTAACCTCACCAACTATGTAAATTATTACTTCATTCCTCCGTCTATCTTCACTTGTCCATTATACTAAAAATAATTATCCAGTAATAATTGTTAAGCTTGAAAAATCAAAAGATAAATTATCGCTTTGTGTCTATTTTATCTTTACTATTATATACTATTCAATATCCAATACAATTTTTCAAAACATTAAATTTAGCATATTCAAAGAGTCAATTACAGTAAAACCTCACTAAATTAATATAGTTGGGACCATGAAATATTATATTTTATAGAGGTATATTTAATCAATAAATTAATATTTAATAATTAAAAGAATGTTTTGAGATAATGTTTAGAGGTCCCGAGTTTGGAGGAAATTGTAGATATCATTTGATTTGAAAAAACAATGTCAATGATAAAGTTGAAGATGATACAATACTTTTGAAATCAGTGACGCGTAAGGTAACACTTATCACATTTTGAACTCTTTGCAATTTTATGGTGCAATTCAAAAAGACAACATCGAAATATTAGGATACAATAAGAAAAGTTAGAAATGAGCTTCAACTAGATTTACATTTTAAGAAAAAAAAACAAAAACAATAGAATCATAATTCACTAAATTGTCATAGATATATTTTGTAATTTTAAAGAATTATTAATTTATAATATTAATGGATCATATATTTATATAGGGATCTTCTGAAAATATATTATCTTATCGAAATGAGTGATTTTTTTCATTAGCCCAAGTCGAGACCGGAGAAAAATATTATCTTAGAGAGATTATTAATTTACCGAATATTAATTTAGTGAGATTTTCTGTATTTATTATTTCTTATTGTGTTTGTGTCATGTCAATAAATGATAACTATTGATGGATAAAATTTTACGTTTATGTATTATTATTTTATTTATTATTTTGCAGAATTAGAAAAAGAAATGTAACAATAATATTTTTGTAAGATTAAGGAAAAAATAACAGTTAAAGATTTCATTCCTTAAAAAAAAAAAGTATAATATTGATTGAAAAATTGAATATGAACATATTAATTTAATAAAAATAAAAATTTAATTTATTTTTTTGTAATAGATGTTTAAATTAGTTTCTCTCTATAAAATAATCTTAATATAAAATTACATTAATAATTTGATTCTCAAAAGCATTTTTTTAAAAAAGATTAGTCAAACACAATTTGTTTATTTAAAACACTTTTCAAATGAATTAGCCCAAAACATATTGGTTTTTTTCAAAACACTTTTTTGAAAAGCTATTTTTAAAAAATATTTCAAAAAATAAACAGTTTTTAGCGGTAATGTTAAACACGCTCTAATATTCATTCCAATAGTTTTTTTTAACCCTTTATTACTCTTGCACTCTCTCTCCCTACCTCATTTTTAAAAAAAATAATGTATATTAAATGCGGTATTTATTTGGAATATAAATGCTTCAGTTTTTTTTGGTATATATTGACCAAACAAGACAATAATAATTGCGCATTTGTACAGTTTTTCCAAAAAAATTGTTTCACTTTTAATAGTATTTGGTCTTTTAGCCTTTTCAATTATGATCTTTTAATTTTCGATGTTTTTTAACATCTTTTTTACAAAAATTAAAATTCTTTATCTGAACCTGTACCGCCTAATTAACACTTCACAAAATAAGAAATTTCTACTTGCCTTAAATTGAAGCTCAAGCGTAAATTTATGAAAATCTCTTCTGTAATGTTTTCAAATGGTCAAAAATCGTTCAAATACATAATTCTCATAAAAATATGAATTCAATAACACAAAAATTGTTACATTTATTTTTGACTTGGGTAGAAAGCTGATAATAAAATAAACTTGCATATCAAATTTTAAACAATGAATTTTTATTCGATCCCAAATCAAGATTTTGTTCTACAAATTTAAAGACTATATTTTCTTAATTCAGCATAATTTCTACATATTTCTATCCTAAAAATTTGTTCAAAAACACATAAAAATCTCATGAGAAAAGACAAAGATATTTACCTTAATGTTTTGGGATGAAAATTCAATTTTTTTCTCCTCTCCTTTTTTTCCTTTTTCTTTCCCCACTTTTTTTCATTATCTGCATAACTTTTTCATTTTGCTACGTCGTGCTTCTATTTTTTTTCAAAAGCAAATTTGTTTACTCCTTTTCTTATCCTCTTTGGGATTTACCCATTTCTTTGATTCCTTTTCTTTGTGTTAAAGATTAAATAACTCTTATTTTAATTCAAGAATAGTGTCACTCATTCTCGTATATGAGAGAAATTTAAATGGAAAAAATGGTAAAATCATAAAACGTTTTGGAGGGTCGTTACATCTACCACTACTAAATACATGTTTTATCCTTAAACTTAATGAGAAAGAAAGTACCTTAATTGTCGAAAAATCAAGGATATTTGCTCCGCATGTCAAACTCAACCTCCCAAGCGGCTTTTTTTGATGGACGATGTTTCCATTGCACCTTCATGGATGCGATAACCTTGAATCTCAACCTCTTAACTTGTCTATCCGGAATACCCATAGCTTTTCTTCAAATGTCAAATTTTGGTTCAACTGCACTGAGTCTCAATATTTAATCACATGAGAATCATTGCTACAATATTTCTTTAACATCAAAACATGAAATAACGAATGAACACATGATAAGTCTGGTGACATAACTAGCTCATAAGTCACTTTTTCAATATGTCGAAGTACCTCAAACGGAACAATGAATCTAGGACTTTCCCTTCTTCCCAAACCTCATAACACCCTTCATAAGTGATACTTTCAACAAAATCTCTTCTCCAACTGAGGCATAACAATGACTGAAAAAGGCATACTCCCGAGTCATGTGCTACTATTGCAGGTGGCTGACTTGGTTAGAACTCAAAAATTCTAAACCATGTCTATATTAAAAATTAAGATGCACCCATATTTTCAATGCAATTTATGAAATAACTACAATGGAAAAATCATACGCGCGCCAATGTAAAGCTACTTTCATAGAACCTCTAATTAGTTTACAATACAAATTTGTCTATTTTGTCAAACAAGACTCGGGCAGGCAGGGGTGTTAAAAATGAGGCAAAAATATAGGTAATTCGTCTAATTTGTCTAGAATTTTAAGGGTACAGCTCAAGACAATCTCAATTCATTCAAGTCTTAGAGCCTTTTTGACAATATTGCTGCTAAAAATGATTCATTTTTAGAAGCACTTTTTTAAAATGACTTTTTAGAAAAGAATTTTTGAAAAAAAAATCAATTTGTGTTTGGCTAATTTATTTGAAAAGTGTTTTTCATAAGCAAATTGCATTTGTGATTTGACTGATCTTTTTAAAAAAGTGTCTTTGAGAGTCAAATTACGAAAAAAGACAATTATTAATGTACTTTTAATATTAAGATTATTTTATAGAGAGAAATTATTTTAAATATCTATTATAAAAAATTAATTGAACTTTTATTTTTATTAAATTAAAAAAATGCACATATTTAAAATTTCAATCAATATTATACCTTTTTGGGAGGGTTGAAATCTTTAATTGTTATTTTTTTTTTCTCTTTTTTCTAACCTTACAAAAATATTTTTATTATCTTTTTTTTTTCTAATTTTTTAAAATTATATGTAAAATATAAAATAATAATATATAAACGTAAAATAAAATATTAAATTTATTATATAAAATTAAAAAATAAAATTCTTAAATGAAATTTAACAAAACTTATGAGATATGTTATTAATCAATAAGAGATATATTGATAAATATGTATATATGAAAGAGATATTTTAGTCTTGAGAAAAATAATTTTTTGTTTCTGCTTCTGTTTTTTTTAAAAAAGCATAAATTTTTAACTTCTTCCCAACAACAGAAAAATTGCTTCTGCTTCTATTTAAAAGCACTTTTACTGATTTGCCAAACACCTAATTTGTCAACAAAAGTGTTTTTTTTCTCAAAATAAATATTTTTGGCCTCCCAACAGTAATGTCAAACAAACTTTTAATCCATTTTAAGAGAATCCTCAATTGAGCCTAGTGCCGACAAAATGAGCCCATATTTTGGTAACCCCTCCAATCCGCTCATATTTGATGGGTTGGGTGAGTGACTTTTTAGATGGATAAAATATGGGTTTATACCCATATTTAACCCATAGAAATATGGGTATTTATGGGTAAAATATGGGTTAGGCAAATGAGTTAAGCTTTCAACTTTTATTCACTCAAAATTCCTGATATCACCAAAAGTGTTGTAACTTCTCTTCTTTTTTTTGTTCTAATTATTCTTCTCTATGATTGAAAAGATAAAGTCTTTGACCCTCCAAAAAAATATATACTATATTACATGTTCATTTCTTTTGTTAATTATAATTATATTTTTATTTGATTAATTTTATATTGGATAACAAATAATAGTGTAAAGTAAGCAAATTATGTATTAGTTTTGATATTGCGTAAAGTTCCTTAAGCACATTTTACTCCTAAAATGCAAATATTCATTTACTTTGAAATTTAATTATTTTTTCCTTGTTATTACATAAATTTATTTTATACTGAAAAGTTATAGATTTATTTTTTGACTATGATGATACAATAAAAATAAATAGAGTATTTTTAAGATTTTTCATCTAAAAAAGACTAAAATATTTTATCCATGTTAATTCTAAAGTAAAGTACTATTTACTCATGAAAATATGGATAAATATGGGTAAATTTGTATTCTACCCAATCCATTTGTTACCCAACCCATTTTTACACATATGAAATATGGACGGATTGAATTATTATCCATTTTATGTTGACCCATTTTTAACCCGCCCAAATTTTACCCAATCCGGCCATTTACCACCACTAATTGAGCCCAATTTAA